AAGAGGAAGTGAGAGACCTTGAGGAGTCCCACACTGAGGAAGGAATCCACAGCCACAAACAAGCTGAAGATCCAGGACTCAGGCTGTAGAACGAGGACACTTGAGGCAGAACTGAAGCAGGGGGTACAGTGGTCATGATTTTTTTGATCCAGACCAGAGCAGAGAGGATGGTCCCCAAGCAGATATCTACTGGAGCTGCTTCCTCTGGTTGACGTATGCAGAGTCTGCTTGGTTTGGACCATTTTCTCTGCTCTGGTTCAGAGTGAAATTCTGAATGCTTAATTCAAACTATTCAAATAAATAAGCTTTTATCCCCAACAGAGGGCGCTGGTGTTATTATTGAACATAGCTATAATTGGTGTTCTAAAAAAGCTCATTCTTAACTTACAACTAAACTGTTTCCAAGTTGGACTGTTGAGACATTTATAGATCCGATTTGTTTTTAGACTGAATCATTTGCCACAAAAGAATATGAAGGACCTATCCAAAAAGAGACAAAAGCCATATTTTGGTTTCTCAGTGATTGGTGCCAGTTCTTTCACAGAGGTGGTGAATAATTCTGTGCGTCTCATGCCATTGCTAATCTCAGTGACACAAATGTATTTTTGTAGACATTCTCAGCTGTGACACTGCAGCAAACATGTGTGAGTCATGGAGGCAGCTCAACACAAAAGGAAATAAAATGGTTTTCCCTCGACAGGCTTTGCTTTATTGAAAGACAAAATATAAATAGAAAAAAACACACACACACACAATTTGGATTGAGTGTTTTTTCAGAGGAACCTTCTCTGTCACTCCAGCTGCAGGTAGCTACAAGCCCGACGGGACTCTGGTCGTGTTTACACATTAGGATGGGTCGGTGGAGCAGCTTGTGTGTGTGTGTGTGTGTGTGTGTGTGTGTACGTGTGTGTTTGTATCTTTACTGACTGGACCCATCTGCTGCTCAGGACCTGACAGCTGGGAGCTGAGCCAAAACATCGGCACAAATCATCCAGGTTTTTCCACTGACAAATCTCCTCTTTTCTCTGATGTCGTGAGGTTCTTTGGTAGAATCCATGAACGATCAAGAGGCATTATTCGTCTGTGTTATGAAATATGTGGATATGTGGGGCGGCTGCGGCTGTCAAATGCCCAACCTCAGTTGTGTCCTTAGGCAAGACACTTAACCGAATGAGTCTGGTATGTGTGTGTGTGAATGGTTGGCGGTGGTGGGAGGGGCAGATGTCCCTGTCAGTGTGCCCCAGGGCAGTTGTGGCTACAGTAGTTGTTTATCACCACCGTGTATTAAGTGAATGATAATGACACGTGGGGCGTCTTTGAGAGCCCAAAAAAAGCATGTATAAAACCCATGTACTATGAGTTTAATCTTTCAGTGTCTGTTGAAAAATGGTAACAAATAAAGAAATATAACTTGATTTTTCTTCTTCAGGTTTCTGCACCTCGAACATAAAGACTAAGATTAGCATAATTTATTTGTTGGGGGAAATGTCAGTGTTGCATCACCAGTTACAGATCAGTAGGAATGACAGCACAAGATAAATGAACAATAACTCTAGACTAAATTAAAATCAAATCTAAAACTTAAGTAAAATGAAGAAGCAAGTATATCTCCTGTGTGTGATAAGTGTGATATATTTTCCCTTCTGTGTCAGAGCTGTTTCCCTTTAAGCTCATTGTTCAGAGCCACTGGAGCAGTCACGTATGATACACAACACTTCAAAGTGCCGGAAGCACCTGTCCGCTCTGTTGACTGCATTTGGTTCTCCTGGTTTGACAGGTTTGATGGTGTTGTTTACATGAAATCTGGGAAACTTAGCTGCCCACCTTCTGCTGCCAACAAAGTGCTGGAGACTGGACACATTTCACTCGTCGCTATAGTTTATTATTGTCATGTGTTTTTCTGTTTTCAAATTATACAATCATCAGCACTAGAATCTCAGAAGCTCATTGTTGGTCAAATCATAAAAAAGAAAGTAGGAAAAAGCTACGGCTGGCTTATTATGAGAGTAAGTAGTACTGTAATGTGTATTTATATAGCGCATTTTACAGACCAAGGTCACCCAAAGCACTTTACAAAGTTCAGAGCTCAGTTATTACTCCATTCTTTTCACACGGAAGAGAGAACTGTCAAGGTTTAGGTTTATTTCCCGTTTTATTTTGTAACTTGTAATCCGGCACTCCGCTCAATCATCATTTCACTTCATGTAACGTCTGGGTCTGGTCCCTATGTTAGCGATTACAATCGCTTGAATTTCGACCAACCAATCAGCGAGCGCTGAATGCGGGTGTTGTAGTTAGTTGTGGGTGATGTCAAGAGTTTGCGTTGAACGGACAGGTTGTAGTTTGGCAATGGCTAAAAATGCAATAGTAAAGTCATCCGGTCTGGTTCTATCAAGAAATTGAAGCCGGAGCAAGAGGAATGTTTAGCAAATTTAATTGTTGGAAAAAATTGTGGTGCTACTCCCCACGGGCTCCGTTAGCGGCAAAGGAGATGGCTTGGCTAGATGCTAAATGCTAACGAATCACTCGGGCGCAATACATACGTCACGGTAAACTCATATCCAATCGTTTCAATCTGCAAAAGGAGTTAACCCCTCCCACCTGTTAACAGAGCTCAATGGAGCGCCTCCAGACCTTAGTACGAAATGTAATTTGCACTATGGTGTGGTACGACCAGGCTAGTAATCCATGTGTTGTCTTCAGGTGTACTTCCTGTTTACTGATTACCTGCCCTTGTGTGTTTCACCCGTGTCTTAAATCTTGTGTATTTAAACCATGTGTAATCCTCCGCACCCTATTCTGTCGTTGTTTTTCCACGTTTGTTTTAGTTGTTGTCCTCAATCTCTGTTTGGATACCTTTTGTTCTTTTCTTTGGATTTTGATTTGGAATTTGCTTTTATTGAATCCATTATTTTTACAATTCTGCATTTTGGGTTATTAACATTTTGCCCAACATGGCACAATCAACACCATCCATTTTTGTACGTGTTTTTAGTAGGGGAAACCGGAGCACCCAAACGAAACCTACGCAGACACAGAGAGTAAATGCAAACTTCACACAGAAAGGCCTAGAGGTGGAATCGAACCCAGGACTGTCTTTCATTGACGCACAGGCTGTACCCACTGAAACCTGAAAAGCACTATATAAAACCATTTTATCATTATTATTATTATTATTCTCTGAACCTTATCCGTGGCTCTACCAGCGTTACAGAGCCAACCCCAGGAGAACACCAGCACAAAGCCGATAAAGATATCTCCTTTATCCTGTAGCCATTTGTCTTCTGAACAAAAAACCCAGAGCAGAGACCTGTGACATATCTAATGTTTTATTCCACTCTGTACCCATACTCACCATTCTTCAAAACACAGTGGGTATTTAATGCATGGCTCAGATTCTAATCATCCCATTTATATCCATTAATATTCCACTTTCTCCTGTGGGGGCATCGCCTTCGCAGGACGAGAAACTGGGTCAATATTTATGTGAATGTTTTTCCTTTCGGTTCGATGCCAAATCACGGCTATTGACAAATCTTGACACTGTTTTCACACGGTCGACAACTCATGCTTCACTTAAAACCATGATTGACAAAGACATTAGTATTGCAGCGATAACCCTGTTTGTGAATTTAAATGGAAAATCTATAGCCGTTCCGTTTGAGCAGAGAGCAGTGTTGTTTATTTATGTTGGTGGGTTCACTGCTTTTAGCTTAATGGGGACAGGCACAGGGTGTGATGGTTTTACACAGAGGTGTCCAAACCTTTAAGTAAAAGGGCCACTTTAGTTCATCAGACTTGACCTAGGGCCGACAACCTGGATTTAAAAACTGGATTCTGGAATTGAATGACACGTCCTCATTGATTCAAACCACTGTTGCATTTAATTTGGAATGTCAGTAGATCACAACAGAGTCAATGCCTGGATTCCAGAGGGTCTGAGTTTTACAACCAGGTATAGCGTGACTGTATTGGTGGGGCTGAAGTTGGTTGGATGACACTGTCAAAGTGCTGAAATGGCGACTTTGTGATAGTAGCACAGGGCCACATAAAATGGCCGCAATTGGCCCACGGGCCTGAGTTTGGACATGTTCCATATAGTATACAGAATATACAGATCAATATAGAGATATATTTCATCTATTAGCGTGTGCTAAAAATAAGTTTAGATCAATCATTTTAATTAAATATCATATTGACTTTTTATAATTTCTCATGATTTTTCCTATTTATTATCCATCCATCCATCCATCCATTTTCTACCCTTTAATCCATTTCTGGGTCAGGGGGGTGGCAATCAGAGATGCCACCCAAGTCTCATAGCACCAGCCCACAAATAGTACTTTTCAATGAGTAAAACATTAAAAAAGGGCCCAGATATTGAATGTTACAGGCAAAGAAACATTCCAAAGATAAACATTTGGCACTCCTCCAGTTGAGTCTGAGTCAGCTTTGTGGAGCACATTCACAATTGTGTAAACTTAAACTTTTTAGGGGTCAACACTGCAGACCTCTGTGTTTTTGGGTCTCCCGAGATTTCTCACTTTTCTCCCACTTGGTTTTAATTTAAATAATAATGCATCGGTTTCATACAGCACTGTTTTGGACTCTCAAAGATGAAAAACTGTTATTGTAGCCACAGCTGCCCTGTGGCACACTGACAGAAGCGAGGAAACCACTGTTGGCCCCTCCCACTCCCACCACCAACCATTCACACCAGACTCATTCAAATGTGAGTGAAGTGTCTTGCCAAAGGAACACAATCCAGAAGTTCCCAGAGGTCTCCCATCACAGCACTAACCAGACCCTGCCCTGCTTAGCTTCAGAGGTCTGACGGGATGTGGATTTTACCTGCAGGTTTTTAGAGTTGTTCTTTGCTGATGCAGGAGGGTCAAAGGACAGTGATGATGATCCAGAACACTCAACATTTCTTGTGTTTGATTCTCTGATCGGTGTTCAATCAACAGCTTTGTAGAGTCCTCCAGGATAACTGTCATAAGGGCAGTGTCTGTGTCTCCTCCTCCCCTCCCCTTGTGTGTCTGTGTCTCCTCCTCCCCTCTCCTTGTGTGTCTGTGTCTCCTCCTCCCCTCCCCTTGTGTGTCTGTGTCTCCTCCTCCCCTCCTCTTGTGTGTCTGTGTCTCCTCCTCCCCTCCCCTTGTGTGTTTGTGTCTCCTCCTCCCCTCCTCTTGTGTGTCTGTGTCTCCTCCTCCCCTCTCCTTGTGTGTCTGTGTCTCCTCCTCCCCTCCCCTTGTGTGTCTGTGTCTCCTCCTCCCCTCTCCTTGTGTGTCTGTGTCTCCTCCTCCCCTCCCCTTGTGTGTTTGTGTCTCCTCCTCCCCTCCTCTTGTGTGTCTGTGTCTCCTCCTCCCCTCCTCTTGTGTGTCTGTGTCTCCTCCTCCCCTCCCCTTGTGTGTCTGTGTCTCCTCCTCCCCTCCCCTTGTGTGTCTGTGTCTCCTCCTCCCCTCCCCTTGTGTGTCTGTGTCTCCTCCTCCCCTCTCCTTGTGTGTCTGTGTCTCCTCCTCCCCTCTCCTTGTGTGTCTGTGTCTCCTTCTCCCCTCCCCTTGTGTGTCTGTGTCTCCTCCTCCCCTCTCCTTGTGTGTCTGTGTCTCCTCCTCCCCTCCCCTTGTGTGTCTGTGTCTCCTCCTCCCCTCTCCTTGTGTGTCTGTGTCTCCTCCTCCCCTCTCCTTGTGTGTCTGTGTCTCCTCCTCCCCTCTCCTTGTGTGTCTGTGTCTCCTCCTCCCCTCCTCTTGTGTGTCTGTGTCTCCTCCTCCCCTCCTCTTGTGTGTCTGTGTCTCCTCCTCCCCTCTCCTTGTGTGTCTGTGTCTCCTCCTCCCCTCTCCTTGTGTGTCTGTGTCTCCTCCTCCCCTCCCCTTGTGTGTCTGTGTCTCCTCCTCCCCTCTCCTTGTGTGTCTGTGTCTCCTCCTCCCCTCCCCTTGTGTGTCTGTGTCTCCTCCTCCCCTCCTCTTGTGTGTCTGTGTCTCCTCCTCCCCTCCCCTTGTGTGTCTGTGTCTCCTCCTCCCCTCCTCTTGTGTGTCTGTGTCTCCTCCTCCCCTCTCCTTGTGTGTCTGTGTCTCCCTCCTCCCCTCCTCTTGTGTGTCTGTGTCTCCTCCTCCCCTCCCCTTGTGTGTCTGTGTCTCCTCCTCCCCTCCTCTTGTGTGTCTGTGTCTCCTCCTCCCCTCCCCTTGTGTGTCTGTGTCTCCTCCTCCCCTCCCCTTGTGTGTCTGTGTCTCCTCCTCCCCTCCTCTTGTGTGTCTGTGTCTCCTCCTCCCCTCCCCTTGTGTGTCTGTGTCTCCTCCTCCCCTCCCCTTGTGTGTCTGTGTCTCCTCCTCCCCTCCCCTTGTGTGTCTGCGTCTCCTCCTCCTCTTGTGTGTCTGCGTCTCCTTCTCTCCTCCCCTTGTGTGTCTGTGTCTCCTCCTCCCCTCCCCTTGTGTGTCTGTGTCTCCTCCTCCCCTCCCCTTGTGTGTCTGTGTCTCCTCCTCCCCTCCCCTTGTGTGTCTGCGTCTCCTCCTCCTCTTGTGTGTCTGCGTCTCCTCCTCCCCTCCCCTTGTGTGTCTGCGTCTCCTCCTCCCCTCCTCTTGTGTGTCTGTGTCTCCTCCTCCCCTCTCCTTGTGTGTCTGCGTCTCCTCCTCCCCTCCCCTTGTGTGTCTGCGTCTCCTCCTCCCCTCCCCTTGTGTGTCTGTGTCTCCTCCTCCCCTCTCCTTGTGTGTCTGTGTCTCCTCCTCCCCTCCCCTTGTGTGTCTGTGTCTCCTCCTCCCCTCCTCTTGTGTGTCTGTGTCTCCTCCTCCCCTCCTCTTGTGTGTCTGTGTCTCCTCCTCCCCTCCCCTTGTGTGTCTGTGTCTCCTCCTCCCCTCCCCTTGTGTGTCTGTGTCTCCTCCTCCCCTCTCCTTGTGTGTCTGTGTCTCCTCCTCCCCTCTCCTTGTGTGTCTGTGTCTCCTCCTCCCCTCCCCTTGTGTGTCTGTGTCTCCTCCTCCCCTCTCCTTGTGTGTCTGTGTCTCCTCCTCCCCTCCCCTTGTGTGTCTGTGTCTCCTCCTCCCCTCTCCTTGTGTGTCTGTGTCTCCTCCTCCCCTCTCCTTGTGTGTCTGTGTCTCCTCCTCCCCTCCTCTTGTGTGTCTGTGTCTCCTCCTCCCCTCCTCTTGTGTGTCTGTGTCTCCTCCTCCCCTCTCCTTGTGTGTCTGTCTCCTCCTCCCCTCTCCTTGTGTGTCTGTGTCTCCTCCTCCCCTCCTCTTGTGTGTCTGTGTCTCCTCCTCCCCTCTCCTTGTGTGTCTGTCTCCTCCTCCCCTCCCCTTGTGTGTCTGTGTCTCCTCCTCCCCTCTCCTTGTGTGTCTGTGTCTCCTCCTCCCCTCCCCTTGTGTGTCTGTGTCTCCTCCTCCCCTCTCCTTGTGTGTCTGTGTCTCCTCCTCCCCTCCTCTTGTGTGTCTGTGTCTCCTCCTCCCCTCCCCTTGTGTGTCTGTGTCTCCTCCTCCCCTCCCCTTGTGTGTCTGTGTCTCCTCCTCCCCTCCCTTGTGTGTCTGTGTCTCCTCCTCCCCTCCCCTTGTGTGTCTGCGTCTCCTCCTCCTCTTGTGTGTCTGCGTCTCCTTCTCTCCTCCCCCTTGTGTGTCTGTGTCTCCTCCTCCCCTCCCCTTGTGTGTCTGTGTCTCCTCCTCCCCTCCCCTTGTGTGTCTGTGTCTCCTCCTCCCCTCCCCTTGTGTGTCTGCGTCTCCTCCTCCCCTCCTCTTGTGTGTCTGTGTCTCCTCCTCCCCTCTCCTTGTGTGTCTGTCTCCTCCTCCCCTCCCCTTGTGTGTCTGTGTCTCCTCCTCCCCCCTCCTTGTGTGTCTGTGTCTCCTCCTCCCCTCCCCTTGTGTGTCTGTGTCTCCTCCTCCCCTCTCCTTGTGTGTCTGTGTCTCCTCCTCCCCTCCTCTTGTGTGTCTGTGTCTCCTCCTCCCCTCCTCTTGTGTGTCTGTGTCTCCTCCTCCCCTCCCCTTGTGTGTCTGTGTCTCCTCCTCCCCTCCCCTTGTGTGTCTGTGTCTCCTCCTCCCCTCCCCTTGTGTGTCTGCGTCTCCTCCTCCTCTTGTGTGTCTGCGTCTCCTTCTCTCCTCCCCTTGTGTGTCTGTGTCTCCTCCTCCCCTCCCCTTGTGTGTCTGTGTCTCCTCCTCCCCTCCCCTTGTGTGTCTGCGTCTCCTCCTCCTCTTGTGTGTCTGCGTCTCCTCCTCCCCTCTCCTTGTGTGTCTGTGTCTCCTCCTCCCCTCTCCATGTGTGTCTGTGTCTCCTCCTCCCCTCCCCTTGTGTGTCTGCGTCTCCTCCTCCCCTCCCCTTGTGTGTCTGTGTCTCCTCCTCCCCTCCCCTTGTGTGTCTGTGTCTCCTCCTCCCCTCCCCTTGTGTGTCTGTGTCTCCTCCTCCCCTCTCCTTGTGTGTCTGTGTCTCCTCCTCCCCTCCTCTTGTGTGTCTGTGTCTCCTCCTCCCCTCCCCTTGTGTGTCTGTGTCTCCTCCTCCCCTCCCCTTGTGTGTCTGCGTCTCCTCCTCCCCTCCCCTTGTGTGTCTGCGTCTCCTCCTCCCCTCCCCTTGTGTGTCTGTGTCTCCTCCTCCCCTCTCCTTGTGTGTCTGTGTCTCCTGCCCCATTGCAGGTGTTTGGTGCCTGCTGTGAGGAGAGCCCACCTGTCTCCCATCAGGTCAAATCCACTCTGCCACTGCTGTTCGTCCCTTGAGCGTGGAAGTGATCTTAGCTTCAGATTCAGTGAACACTTATTATTTTTGTTTTTTCCTCAGGTGATGGACCAGCTGTTTTGTCGGACGAAGACCCGGAGCTTCTGTTTCACTCATTTTAGTTCTACACAGATTTTTGTTGAATTAAAAATATTTGTATCTTGGATCTGCATTTGGATTATTATTGAAGTTTGAATGGGGGGACAGTGGCTTAGTTGGTAGCTGTATTGGCATTTGAGCCTGAAGGTCATGGGTTCGAGCCCACCACAAGACTTTCTCCACCGACTCCCGCTGATGTCTGCTGTCGTTGTGTCCTTGGCAAGACACTTAACCTCTGGGAAAACCAGGTGCCGGCTGCGGGCTGTGAAGTGCCAAACTGCCGTTGTGTCCTTAGGTAAGACACTTCACCCCCTTTGCCTAGAATGAGTCTGTTGTGTGTGTGAATGGTTGGTGGTGGTTGGAGGGGCCGATGGCATAGACTAGTTGCCTCGCTTCTGTCAGTGTGCCCCAGGGCAGTTGCTGCTATACGGTAGCAGTTTACCACCATTGTGTTCGGAGTGAATGAATAATGACACGTGAAGCGTCTTTGAGTGTCCAAAAAAGCGCTATATAAAACTGATGCATTATTATTATTATTATTATTATTATTATTATTATTAGAATAACTACTTTTGTGATTTAGAGCTACACAAAAATGTATTGAATGGAATTGAATTTCAGGACTAGAACCATTGTAAAACCTTTGAGAAAACACATTTTTAAAAACTATTTCATCTATTCCACTGTGTAAATTCAGAGGGATAATTTACAAAAAAAACTGGTTTCCAGTTCAGACACATTAAAGCTATTTTCTCTAACAATGTGCCCGATGTCCAGCCCTGGCTTCTGCTCCTCTGCTGGAGATAGCTGAATATGCTGCTTCTCTTTGCCCACCATTATTTTGAAGAATAGCGAATGACATTTCAAAGGCTTCCTGGTAACCTTCAGGTGCTGCTCCCTCATGCCAGGCTTTTACAACGGGCAGTCACAGAAGTAAAACACATTTTATGAACTGCAGGGATGATTGCCTTCACACTTCCGAATACGAACAGCTTGGCATTTGCAAAGAAAATGTTAACGGATTTGGGACTTCTTTTACAACCTTTCTGAGAATACAGGAATAGACCTGCATTTTAACTCAGAGGAGAAGTTTCTTAATGATAGGACTCCCGGAGCAATGTGACGGCGTATAGGTTTGGAGCGTGTAACAACTATTTTTGGTGTATTAAGCTAAATAACCACATTGCTACCACTGGAAACAAGTACACATTATGTTGCTATGGTGACTAGTGCTGGCTCTACTCTGGGAGATTAAGGTAAAACTCCTCACTTCAAAAGTAAAATATAATTCAATATAAAAATAAACTGCATACAGTACAGAAAGAGAAAAAGTGACGGCAAAAAGGCAAAAATGTACATACGCAGAGTAAATAGCGTTTAACAAATGGAATGATGTAGAAATTGTGTTCTCTTGTGTGTGGCAGAGGAGAACAGTAACCGTCCCCCGTACAGATGTAGCAGATATATCTACAGTGACAAGCCTTTAGCAACAGGCGAGGAAGATAAGTGAGGTCGGCGTGAAATATGATTAAAGCGCCCCCCTTTTCCTCTGTTTTGATTTAAAAGAGCATGGTGCAAAACAAGCCCTTTATTCCGCCCACACGCTCCGCCAGCAGACACCAGCACAGCAGCAGCCGCAGTCCGACCGGAGCAGGGGAAGAGGGGGCAGCTGCCGAAAAACCAAGATGGTTCAGGAAGAAAAGACCTTCCTCAGCACTTTCCCTGAGTTTATTGTGCGGGCAGAATATTATTCTCAACTCTTTCTCTTGACACATGGAAAATATCCTGCAGGGAAAGTGGAGTTTGCTTCAATAGCCTCAAGAAACATGACTTTAGTGTTGGAGTCAGCTGAGGATAAGAGTTGGGCGATCGTAGGTGGTACATGTGTCACGGGAAGCAGGATTCTGGGAAACAAAGAACGACTGAAGAATGAAGGATTATTAAACTACTAATTGTGCATTTTACACACTGTCCCTTTAACCGACAGCCGAATCATAACTGAAACAAATACATGTATTTCTTATGGTTTTTAGCGATACATAAGATTTTATGTTCTGCTATGTTTGAACAAAATGTTTCCAAGTTCTTCCATTAATGAGATTGATCAATCTTGAAAAGCACCTGCAGACATTGTTACATGTTCAAACTTTCATGTTCAAAGGTTTGATCCTGATACCCCCACCCGTACCCCTCATTCACAAATAGTTTTCAGGAAAAAACATTTTCAAACGGCTGCACATCCTGGCCCAAAAGTCTGCTCTCGGCTCAATGCTACATTTCAGATGCTATCAATGCTGAGACCAGACTAGTTTATCCGCTGTGGACTTTTGTTTTTTTTTCCGGCATGTGTCAGACTTGGTACAGTCTCCGCTCAGAAAGTGACTTGTGCAGCTAACGCATGCAAGCTTTTTTTCACCATATTCCTACGGGGAGGGCTACTTGCCGCCATTTTGAAAAGGTTAATGTTGATTACACTTAGAATTCAACAAGAAATAGGCGTCACTATGTCTGTACGTATTTACAGTCAATGCAGCAAACATGAAGCTGACTTCCTTCTTGTAGTTTGTCTTTTTTGCTTCATCCGTTCTTCCCTAATGGTACAGTACATCGGTCACTCCACTTTAATTATTGGACAGATTTGATGCGATTGTTCAAACGTGCAGATGCATAGAACACACATTTGCAACACCAAATTAAAAGGCTTTGTACTTTGTCCCAGATCCTCATGCTGCTAACATGTACAGATGTAAACATACAACTATACATTAAAGCTGCACTAACTGACTTTATTTTCGTATTAATTACGAAAATGCTATCCATGTCCATGTAGTGCATTGGGATATACGTCCTTTTGAAGAAAAAGTAGCGCAGATTTGTGCTGGCCTGACATTATATTTTTGATCGAGTTTTGATGAAACAAGGAAGAGAATGTGTTTCGGGTCGCAGATTGTGACCAATCACAGCGAACCACTAGCCCCCACTTTCGTGAGAAATCTACAGGTCCGTTAGCATAGACAGCTGAGTTAGCACAACAAGCGGCGGAGCTAACCTGAAACTTTCTCGTCTTCGTTACCGGGTACTGCTTACACAGCGAAACAGCCATCCAAAAGAAAGTCCCGTTCCTCCGCGCTTCCCGGTTCTATCGTTCTATGGTCACGCCATCCACGTGAAAATCCATGTCCATGTATTATCCATATTGGGAGAGGCTAGTGGGTGCGGGGAGGGGAGCAGAAAGAGCGAGGCCAGCGAGTCCGCGGCTTCAAAATCCCAAAGTCAGTTAGTGCAGCTTTAAGGCACCAGAATATAAAGTGTATTACACTTGCTTTCTTTATAAAGTTAATATTGATTCCTTTTAGTATAGAGTTATTGTTCACTTATCTTGTGCTGTGGCTCCTAATTCCTGTTGTTCTGTAACTGGTGATGCAACACTGAAATTTCCCCACTGTGGGAGATAAAGAGAATAAAGGATCTCTTAACTCTAATCTAAAACCCATGTGTCCAATAGGACACAATCCAGAGAGGGTTCCCAGACTACATACTACAGGATGCATACGGAATATTCATAGTTTAAGTCCTCTCTCTCTCTCTCTCTCTCTCTATTGTAGGTTAAGAATTATGTAAAGGGTGATTATATGAGTGGGATCATAAATTTAGTAGTGTGGAGCGGCTAGTCTCCGGATCAGAAACTCGCCGTTCCACCAATGGATCTGTCTTATTTATTTTGGGCACCAGTAGACGTCTTGGGGTCTACGACAGACCAGGAGATATTTGCCTCGATACCAGTATCACAAATCTAATGGGCTGAGTACGAAAATCGGCCAGGGATATCCGAGATTTAAAAACACGACTCTTAAATGATTGAGTTAAAATTAACGTGGGTTTATTGACTACAAATATGAAAATAGAAAAATATCAACGAAAAAGGTTTTCTGGTCACATTAAGTAAAGATTGTCATACATATCATTCAAATCACACTCCATGTGACACTTGTCATGTCAGGATGGCACTTATGAGGATGTTAGGAGGAACAAAGTTACGCAGAGGCAGCTTCCAGTGCAGATCCGGTGAAAGTTTATTTACATTATTTACATTTTTGTGTTAAAATCAGGACAGCATGTCCACCAGCACTCTCCCAGCTCGGAGCTGGTGGCCTGCTTTTATAGCAGGTGACAGCAATTAGACCACACCCACTGCAGCTCAAAATACACAAAAAAAATACAACAATAATTAACGCAGTGAATATATCCTCTACAAAATTACAAAAATATATCTCTTTATTAATTTAGCAGTGATTTATTATTTCTACCACATTACTCAAGTCAAAAAATAAAACCCAGGACACACCCTCCTCTCTGCAGAGTGGATGCACCCGGAACCCTCTTTAGGTGATAGACAAACAGGAAACAAAAAGGTGAGGAATTACAGGTTGCACGTTTACATTAAAACCCAATCTTTAATAAACTTTATTTAAAACAATTTAGTGTCTCATTTCCCTCACCTGTACACACCCAGTAATGGACTCTGCTACATTACATTTCCTCCCCCCTCTCTTAAGGGTGCAGCCCTTCTAAATTTCATGAATCCTGGAGAGAGCATCAGCAACTATATTGCACTTGCCCGCCTTGTAGTAAACAGTGAAGTTATACGGCTGTAGAGCCAGGTACCACCCAGCAATTCTGGTGTTTGAGTCTTTCATCTTGTGGAGCCACTGAAGAGCACGGTGGTCAGTTTCCAAGCTGAAGTGACGCCCCATCAAGTAGTACCTCAGCGACTCAATTGCCCACTTCATGGCCAAGCACTCTTTCTCTACTGTTGAATACCTTGTCTCTCTGTCCAGCAGTTTTCTACTTAAAAAGGCCACTGGTCTCCTCTCTCCATCCACCTCCTGCAGCAAAACTCCCCCCAGACCTACTCCTGATGCATCAGTTTGTAGAATGAAGGGTTGGTTGAAATCAGGGGTTTGCAGTACTGTGTGCTCATTAATTGACTCTTTGAGATCTCTGAAAGCCTGGTCACAGCGATCACTCCATCTCACCTTTCTTGGGGCCGTGGCTTTGGTGAGATCATGAAGAACAGCCGAGCGATCTGAAAAGTGAGGAACAAATTTTCTGTACCAGCCCACCAGACCGAGGAAACTCTTTACTTTCTGCTTTGTTGTGGGGACGGGGAACGAATGGATTGCCTCCATTTTCCCCACCTGTGGTCGGAGCTTCCCATGGCCGATCACAAAACCGAGGTACTCTACTTCTCTCTGCGCCAAACAGCATTTCTGCGGGTTAATAGTAAGGCCAGCTGCTTTAATGCGCTTCAGGACTCCTTGGAGATGAGCCATGTGTTCTTCCCAGTTTCGGCTGTAGATAACGACATCGTCCAGATATGCCGCCGCGAACTCTGAAACATCTCTCAGCACATAGTCCATAAGCCTCTGAAAAGTGGCTGGCGCCCCCTGGAGTCCAAATGGCATAACTCGAAATTGGTACATACCAAATGGAGTTCTGAATGCCGTCAATTCATGGACCTCAGGAGACAGCGCCACCTGCCAGTAGCCTTTGCTCAGGTCTAAGGTGGTGATGTATTTGGCTTTTCCCACTCGCTCCACCAGCTCATCAATCCTGGGCATTGGGTAAGGGTCACACAGTGAAACAGAATTCAGGTACCGAAAGTCTATGCAAAATCTCAGTGAGTCATCTTTCTTTGGTACAAAGCACCACTGGACTACACCATTCACTACTGGATACCTCAATTATACCCAGTTCCAGCATCATTTCGATTTCCTTTTTCAGCACTGGCACTAGTCGCTCCGGGATTCTGTAGCTCTTCTGACGTGGCGGCGCCTCAGTCTTCAGCCGGATGTTGTGCTGTACCAGGTCTGTGTAACCAGGAGTTTCTTTGAAGAGCCCTGGGTCAATGAGTGGAGTCACCTCTTTCTGCTGAGAGATAGACAGATGTGACGTATCTAACACAGATGACTCACCCAGACTTCCAGGTGTAAACTTCTCTGGGGTTTCTTCGTCTTGCACAGACCGGATCAACAGCTGAGGGACAGATACTGGACGAGAAAAAAATTCTTTCAGCAAATTCACATGGAATTTCTGATGCTTTTTGGTTCTGTCAGGCATAAACAGTTCATATGTGAGCTCACCCACTTTCTTTGTGATTTCATATGGGCCATACCATTTAGACAGGAGCTTGCTATCGGAGGTGGGAAGGAGTAGGAGAACCTTTTGACCTGGTTTGAAGCTTCGTTCTCTGGCTTTGCGGTCGTACCACACTTTCTGGTTTTGTTGAGCAGTCTTCATATTCTCTTGTGCCAGCTCAGACATTTCCTCCAAGCGTTGCCTCATCTTAACTACATAGGCCACGACGTTCTCTCCCGAGGGGGTTGGATTCTCCCAGTAGTCTTTGAGTAGGTCAAGCGGCCCCCTCACCTGGCGTCCATAGAGTAGTTCAAATGGAGAGAACCCCGTTGAGGCCTGTGGGACTTCGCGGTAGGAAAACAACAGGTACGGCAACCACTGGTCCCAGTCTGCTCCTGTGTTAGAAACAAACTTCCGCAGCATATTTTTCAGAGTTTGGTTATACCGCTCAACTAGCCCGTCCGTCTGGGGGTGGTATGGGGTGGTCTTAATTCCCTTAATACCTAGTAGCTTATAAACCTGTCGTAATAATTTAGACATGAAGTTTATCCCACAGTCCGTCAAAACCTCCCTTGGTATCCCCACTCTAGAGAACATTTGTAACAAACAGTTAGCAACATTTCTGGCCTTGATTGTTTTTAGTGGAAACGCTTCGGGATACCGTGTTGCATAGTCGCACAGAACTAAAATGAATCTGTGACCTGCACTGCTTCGTTCTAAAGGCCCCACTATGTCCATACCAATTCTCTCAAAAGGAGTTTCAATGATGGGTAGAGGTTGCAACATTGCTCGAGGGACTTTGCGAGAAGAGGTAAGTTGGCATATTTCACAAGAATTACAAAAGTTAGAAATTTGGTTGTACATGCCTGGCCACACAAATCTGCTCGCAATTCTGCATAAAGTTTTCTGGAAAGCCATGTGTCCAGCCCATGGCACAGAATGTCCCAGCTCCATTACTTGGGTTCTGAACTTTTGAGGCAAGGCCAAGGCTTCAACAGTTCCTTTGCATTGATACAAGATTCCACCTTTAATGACAAATGTTGCCTCCTCTAAACCTCCAAGATTACCCCGTTTAACCCCTTCAACATCTGTTACTTTTTTAAACCACTCGTTTAAAGTTACATCATCTTTTTGTAAAGTAGCAACATCAGGAGGAAGCTGAAACTCAACTGGTTGCATAAGTTTGGTTTGATTTTCTGTCTGTTTGTATACTGTGCCTTTCAACTTTTCCCTTCTTTTCTGTGCTTTTGATTTGACTGGTTTCCCTATTCCTGGTTCGAGATCTTCACCCCAAAAGGGCAACTCTTGTAAAGACTCTTGAGCAGCCTTTGCTCTGGTAATAACCATGTGATAAGCAACAGGCGCCTCTACTTTCCCAGGCCAGTTTACAGGTGAGTTTTCTGACTCATGCACTAAATCTATCAATATTGGCAAATCATGACCGAGAATCACATCAAATGGTAAATTTGGGGCTAATGCCACAGGAATTAGAAATGTTTAACCTCCAACCGTTAAATACACATCTGCCATAGGATACTGGTGTTCATCCCCATGAACACAGCTAATATTGGTTTTGTCCTCCCTCCATTTTTCCCTTGACACCAAACTGGACACCACTATCGTTTGGAACCCCCCCGTATCCAGCAGTGCTGTAGTATGGTGACCATTAATCAGTACAGGGGCAGTTAAAGCTTTCTGAGTATTAGCCATATGACTGTGCACGACAGGTCTAGGCACTGCACAGTAAAGAGAAGACTTATTTGCTAATTCACTTTGGAGAGACCCAAGAGGGAAAATGCAGTTAGAAGTTTGTTGATTGAGTATGTTTGGCGCCCTAGGCCCGGGAGAGATGCTGATGAGTGCGGCGCTTGCTCGCGCGCATAATCCCCCCCGGGGCCTAGGCACTGGTGACGGCAGAGGCAGTAGGCAAGCACGCTTCGATGAGAGAAGGAGGAGGTGGGGCGGCGGAGGTTTTGCAAACTTCAGAAGGCTGGGAAGTGGGCGTCTCCGGCTTTTACCTACCTGTCCTGGTGGTTATTGGTGGATTAGATGTGGGCGTTTTGCTGGTGTAATGAGTAGAGGATGAGCAGGCTTGTAGATCTGGCAGCAGTGGCCGGGTCTACCACAGTGAACTTTCGCGAAGAGCTTCATTTGACATGAATATTGGGTATGGCCTAAGCCATTACATAGGTAACATCTAACCACTTTATAGCGTTTTTGCGAGTGGTTAGCAAAATTTGACTTTTGATAATCATTTTCTCTAAACTGCCTATTTTGACCAAACCCCATTTCACCCCCATAGGACTTACTTTGGGCTTGATCTCTGAATCCATGTTCTCGGTCCTGGCCTCTTTGAAGTCTTGGAGCATTGCGTCCATAGGTGGCGTTGTTGGATCCTTTCCTTGCAGCCAAGAAGACCTCTGCCATCTCTGCCGCTTTCTCCGCTGTCTTCGGGTCACGTTCACGGATCCACACTTGAAGCTCTGGGCTCACCATTCTTAAAAACTGTTCCAAGATCAAAGTCTCTGACATCTCTTGTTTTGTAGATTTTTCAGGTTTCACCCATTTGGAAAACACGTCCTTCAGTCGCACATACAGTTCTCTCGGAGTCTCATCAGGGAATATTTCAGTGGAACGAAATCTTTGTCGATAAGTTTCAGTTGTAATCTCATATTTTGCCAAAATTGCTGCTTTCACTTTGTCATAATCTTCTGAATCTGTCATGTCCATAAGCACATATGCACTGCGGGCTTTACCAGTCAATAATGTCACTAGGCGGAGAGCCCACTCATCTCTTGGCCATCTGCAGACCTGTGCCATTCTTTCAAAAGTTGTCAGAAAATGTTCAATATCATCGTCTGGTGCTAAGGGTAGCAATTTTGGCTCTCTGTGAATGACTTGCTCTCTGTAATATTGGTGGTCAGCATAACTTGCACCTTCTTCATTCCCAGATTAATTTATGGCAGGATCCAAGTCAGAGTCATAATCAGCTCTTCTTTGGACGGCTTGATTTACCAAAGACTGCACTTCTTGAATTTGGTGTTGCATGCTCTTCCATCTCAATTCTTGTTTTGCAGCTTCCTTTTCCAAAGTCTTCTCTCTGGCTGCCTGGGTTTTTGCTAAAGACTTCACCAGTCCCGCCAGTTCTTCAAACCTTTCTCCAGAGCTGCTAATTGCATCCACCCCCGGCTCCACAGGTGCTGACGATCCCTCATCAGGATCAGCTCGTTGCTCAGTCTGCACTTTCTTCATCCTTGTCGCCATCTCCTGTTACTTTGTTGGATCGCGGGCCCAGCTTCTGACACCAATTGTGACACTTGTCATGTCAGGATGGCACTTATGAGGATGTTAGGAGGAACAAAGTTACGCAGAGGCAGCTTCCAGTGCAGATCCGGTGAAAGTTTATTTACATTATTTACATTTTTGTGTTAAAATCAGGACAGCATGTCCACCAGCACTCTCCCAGCTCGGAGCTGGTGGCCTGCTTTTATAGCAGGGGACAGCAATTAGACCACATCCACTGCAGCTCAAAATACACAAAAAAAATACAGCAATAATTAACGCAGTGAATATATCCTCTACAAAATTACAAAAATATATCTCTTTATTAATTTAGCAGTGATTTATTATTTCTACCACATTACTCAAGTCAAAAAATAAAACCCAGGACACCCCTCCTCTCTGCAGAGTGGATGCACCCGGAACCCTCTTTAGGTGATAGACAAACAGGAAACAAAAAGGTGAGTAATTACAGGTTGCACGTTTACATTAAAACCCAATCTTTAATAAACTTTATTTAAAACAATTTAGTGTCTCATTTCCCTCACCTGTACACACCCAGTAATGGACTCTGCTACATTACACTCCAACAAGGAACAGTCTTACTTTGAGGGGTTCAAAGAGGTGATGGCGATGGGGCAGTGAGATGATGAGGATGAAGAAGGGTGATGGGAACAGCGAGGGCCTCGTCCACGTGTCCTTTGTCCGAACGAGGAAGCCAGCAGGTCAGGTCCAGACGTGGGTTCCACACACGACACGGTCTAGAATAGTGTTGTGGTGGGGTGTCCTGGGAGCCCGAAAGTGGCTGGTGATGGAAGTTCTCGTCTCCGACAGCGGGGATGGATGCTGTCCTCGTGGATGTACAGAGGCCTCAGTGCGTTACAGGCGCGGGTCGTAGTAGAAGACACGTACTCGCGGAACGCAGAAGGAAGGGTTGTTATAGTGATTGCAGGAAGAAACCAAGAGAAAGTCCTGGGTCTGCGGTCTGGTTTTGTTGTGTTCAAAGGGGGCGCGTCCGTGACGTCATCCTTGTGCGCCTCACTGGACATCCTTCACAACAGACATGTTATAATGGCAAAACGAAGGATTAATACAGACAATCATAACACATGTACAGACACACAGCGCATTTACATTACTTGACAATGATACACACGTGTAGGGCACGGTGCAGACTATCGGAATAAATGAATCCAGGAGTGCTGGTTTAAAATGTCCGTCCCGGGTGTGATAGTGTTCAGTGTCCGCTGGGGGACGCCATAGCGCCGTGGGTGAGTCACAGATTGTCTCAGGGCCGTGGAATGTCCCGTGAGTGAGTGCAGATTAGTGATTTCTGATCTCTGCCAGGCAGCAAGGCACAAAGATGTTTGTTCTGGGGCCCAGTTTATTGCCTTGGTTGACACTTATGATCACGGTGACCGATGATGTCCTCTGGTTGACCTGGTCGTCTCTTAGATGTGCGTCAAGATGGGTCATGCTCCGGAGGGCATGTTTACATATTTTGGTTTGCTGGTCAACGTCCGACTGGCTGTCCTTTAATTCACCTTACATATATATATATATATATATATATATAAACTCACTGCAGAAACTAAAGAAAAACCATAAAATCCTGTCAACTGCAGATTAAAAGTGGAACATTAACTATATTTCACATTGTTTTTTGCCTGTGTGTCCTTGAATAACAGGGTAACACTCAAGTACAAGTATATAGTATATGTATTTCAGAGTTTTTTAGTCATTGCTTCTTTGTTCACGTTAAGGTGAACAACATAAACTATGAAACTCTGGACCAAACAAGAATCAATAAGGAATGCTTCAAACCCTTAAACTCTGGGAATAAAATAAAAGTAGCACTAGTGAACACAGGCTTAAAGAATAATGTGCATTTCAGTGTGCTGTGTTTTAGGATGTAATTATAAAAATGTCCCTGATTCAGCAGGTTCACCTCAGCCATCCATCCAGAGCCTGGAGCTGGACAAAAGTTGAGCACCATTTCTTACTGGCTGTGTTTGGAGACTAAAAGGTAATTTTTTTCGATTGAGAAATAGTATATAGAATCGTTATTTCCACTGTCAACAAATCCATTCTTTATTCAAGGACTATAATCAATCTAATTGTTGTGCCAAAAAAGTGGGAAATTACTGTCTTTATAAAGTCAACTTAAAAATGTAATAGACTTTGTAAGGAAAGGCAACAACATGCAAAACTTTTAGTGTTTTATGCAGTGAAATAATCAACGTTTATATTGTGTCCTGTCTCAAATGCAATCGTCGCATTTGAGACATCAATTATTCAAGTCCAGCAATAAAGTTAGACAAAGCAAAAACGTTGCAATTCGCCCTGATCCGATTGACTGAGGCTAATTTTTATACAGGTAATAAAACTGAGCGTCTAACTACATTATCTGTCAGAGCTTCTCTTTCTCTGAACAATAGTGTCTATAAAAACCATCGACTTTGGTCTCACTCCAGACAACTCGAAGCTGCACACCTCTTTAGCGAAGAGGTAATGGGAAGTTTGTTCTGCCTTATACTGTGAAACCGATCATTTATGAAAGCCTATATCCCTCACCGGCACCAATAACTTATGCATTGGAGGATTGCTCGTCGTATATCTCTATTTCCTGGTGCTGCTTTTTCATATGAGCTTTGGGCAATGCATTTTTATTTACATCCTCAGCCACTTTCTGTGCAGTTTCCTTGAAGCACTCTCAAGGGAAAAAATACTGTAGATTATTCAAAGTGGCCGTTGGCTACACAGAGGATATATCAACTATTCTATGCTTATGTGCCACGGATTGTCCAATTGCCCTAAATCACAAAAGTGGTTATCTCGGAGGACAATACAAAGCTGTCGATTCGCCAACACAGATCAGAGAATCATTTCGTTCAAGCACAAGAAATGCAATGATAGAAAAAACGTACGGGCATTGGTCCTTCATGGGTAGAGACCAATGTCCATAAATGTTATTGAATGAGAGGTGTCCTGGGCGACATGGAGGTGCAGAGGTTAAAACCGCTTCAAGAAGGCCATCGGTTCAAATCCACCTTCCGGATTTTCTGTGTGGAGTTTGCATGTTCTCCCCCTGGCCCCGTGCATTGGCGGGCAAGCTTCAGTTTAAAGCCCTCGCATTGTTCTGCAGGCTCTCTTAACTAAGCTCCGTTTAAATCCTTCTCTCTGACTGCAAGCTCCGTTTATTCCTCACATTGGACTGCAAGACCTCAGTTTAATCCCTCACATTGGACTGCGTGCTCTCAATTTTAATCCCTCACTTTGGCCTGCAGGCTCTCTTTAAATCCCTCTCCGGACTGCGAGCTCTGTTTAAATCCCTCTCTTTGGTCTGCAAGCCCCGTTTAAATCCCTCTGGACTGCGGCTCCCACATTGAATCCCTCACATTGGACTGCGAGCTCTCAGGTTAATCCCTCACGGAACTGCTTATATCTGGAGCTGTTATACCGTACCTGGAACTGCTTCATGCGGAACTGCTTATATTTGGAACTGCTATATATGGAACTGCTATATATGGAACTGCTAATTATGGAACTGCTTATATATGGAACGGCTTGTATACGGAACTGCTTATATGGAACTGCTCATATTGGAACTGCATATATGGTACTGCTTATATCTGGAACGCTTATATATAAAAATAAATAAATATAAATAAATATAAATATGAATAAATATAAATACATATAAATAAATATAAATAAATATAAATAAATAAATAAAAAATAAAAAACTGCAGGCTCTGTTGGATCCCTCACACTGGACTGTAAGCTTCAGTTTAACCTCCTCACTTGGACTGCGGGTTCAGTTAATCCCCCACTTGGACCGTAAAACCTGTTTAAATCCCTCACACTGGACTGCAGCTCTCGGTTTAATCCCTCACTTGGACTTCGAGCTCTCAGTTATAAATCCCTCTTTTAGGACTGCGGGCAATGTTGAATCCCTCACTCTGGACTACAAGCTCTCAGTTTAATCCCTCACCTCGGACTACAGGTCGTTTAACTCCCTCGCACCGGACTGCAGGCTCTCCGTTAAACGCCTCACTTGGACTGCGGGCTCAGTTTTAATACCTCACTTTGGACTGCAAGCTCTATTTAAATCCCTCACATTAGACTGCAGGCTCTGTTTAGGTCCCTCGGCGTCTCGTGTCCCGCAACCTCTTCCCGGCTCTCCGTGAGCCCCAAGTCGGCACGCGGCTTGGGCGCGGGAGGTGTCCGTGGGCTACGTCATTGGCCCCTTCTCTCCGTCTCGCTCTAACCCGATGGGCATCGCCACCCGCAAGCACTCCAGGAAGAAGCGTCTCATACTCGTCCTCTCCTGTCCCCGCTCCGGGCCCGCCCGAGCATCAACAGCCCCTTCCCTCCAGCGCCCTTCTCCCTGCAGTCCGCTACCGTGGACCACGCGATCAGGCTGATAAAGACTTTCGGCCCCGGCTCCTGGCTCTCCAAGGCCGTCATCCCGGTCGCGTTCAAGCTGCTGCCATCCACCTCGACCACTGGCGCTGTTCAGGGGTCAAAGTGGCGTCGGAGTTCTTCTTCGCAGTGCGCCTCACCTTTGACTGCCGGAGTAGTCCCTCTCGTTCAACAATCTCTCGGAGGCGCCGTGTCGGATTCTGCTTAATTACGCGCGGCTCCCCTCTGTCTGCATCTCCCCGATGCTTCCCTCATAGTCGACCCACCCTCCGACTGCTCCGGGGGCTCTCTCCGCAAGCTCAGGCCCGCCTTCTCTGCCCTTCTCTGCCCTTCCTCCACTCCGGAAAGACCACAGGCCCCGCCTGGGAGTTTTCTCGGGCAATCGCTCGATCATCAAGCGCCATGGAGGCCTCCCTCCCGCTGGGACAAGGCTCGAACGCATCCACGCTTTCTCCCGGTCTTCCTTGGCCGTCCCGTCTACTTCGAGGCAGTCCTTGCTTCTCCTCTCTCGGGCTTCTTCATTATGCGTCTGTATCATTCCCCAAGGTCGTTCTTTTGTAATTCCAGGACTCCTCTCACCTCGCCGGCTCCGTCTTCCTCCCTCGATTGACGCTGTACTAGCCCGGACGCGGGGCGCCG